TACTGGTGGTTCTTACCCTTAAATCACAGTTTAGGAGTTCAGAAATCTGATTTAGTGTTAATAATATACAATCAGTTCTGCTGGAAAAAAATTTAATAGATTTTGTTTTGGCAACTGCAGCACCAGAGATGATTAATAATGGACTACTTTAAAAACCGACAGGTTTTTTTATTCTGCAAAAAATGTGTGCTCCTGCTTAACAGTAATGTTCTATCAAATCCTACATTCCTTCGTACTCACAAAATAAGATATAAAAATGTGTATTATTTCAGCAGGGCATCCTTAAAATATTGAACAGAAGATTCCACAAACTTTAAAATATGTTATACTAGATATAAACAATTTTTTTTTTTAAAAAAGCAACCAGTTGAGCAAGAATGACTCATCTCTGTATTCTACTTATGATCCCCAAGAACAGACCCATCAAAGCTATGATCAAATGCCCGATCAATGCTCTTTAACATGGTGCTTACTTCTTTAGGTCCTACATACAGCAATGCTTTTGATGCTACAGATACCAAGTTTATTATAAGCCACCAGCCTTTCCTCAATTGGATGCTTTTGGCCATGTTGGCTAGGAATTCAGAGATCTGTAGGTCTGACACAGGGAGAGGGCATCAGATGGGGAAAGGTTGGCAAGGAACATGAAATGGTACTAACAAAGGATTCTATTAGATATACAAAAAAGTATCTAAGAAGAATAAATCGTGGCAGCTCATTGCCTTGTGCTCTTAGAAATGTGCTACTGTATGCAAAGTAATTTTGTCAGCTTCAGATTTGTGACCAGATAGAACTGAACAGGATAAAAAGTGGGAGCAGGAGAGAGAAAATTCAGCTAAGTTAAAAGCTAGGCCATTGCTGCTCCTCTTCAGAATTGGCTACTGACACATTGTTCTTGTGGCTGATTATTTATCTACTTCAACATTCTACTTTCATTTCATAGAGTACACAACTGCAAAAATAGAAGCATCCTATTTATTTACAATATATATATACACACATACACAAATTAAACATTTCCTACAACACAACTGCATAGATTTTGGTTGTTGTTGCTGCTGCTGTTAAATAAAAAAGAAACAGATTCAGGGATATGCACATATGTGTATGTCAAGGTCCTACCAGCCTCTGTATTTAAAATAATTTATTTTTATCTTCATATTTTGATAACTGAAGGTCTTGAGGAACAATGGAGACATTCAATTAAAAAAAAAAAGCCACAGGGAAACACTTTCCTGATGCAAAGTGGCATCCTCAGCAATGTTTGTTTCTGAATAAGGAAAGAGTCCCCGATCAAGAGACATTTTAAAAGCAATCTAAGTTAATACAGACTATTCTAATTGTATAAAATATATCTTAAAAAAGATGATTGAACTAGTACTAAGAAGCATGGAAAAAGTGTGTCTTGATTTCATACAGACAGTATTTGGCGTTCACGTAAATTGTGCAATATCATACCTAAGGGTTATATTTTTGCTATCCACTCTTAATACCCCCTGCATACCGTGGACAAAGTGTTATGAACTGGAAAAAGTGATTCTTCCAAAATGGACCTGTTATATGGAAATGGTGGGGGGGAAGTATTTCTTTCATAAAAATTGCTCAATTAGGTTGCAATTCTATGGCCCCTGGGAGGAGGTACCAGAAGTTGGAAAAGGGAATCAGACAGATCAATCAGTGCCCAGTGGGCTTCATAGCTAAGGCTGGGAGACCATGCTGGAGGACGGGTATGGAAACACAGGAACCCATGACCCATGGGATGGAATTGGTGCTAACCGTGAAGCTGATATACAGAAACGTCATGGAAATCCTCTTATTGAAAACAAACATGAGTAAGAAAGGATGGAAAAACCCAAACATTTACTCTCCCTTGTTTTGGCCTTGCTGAGAAGATTCCAGCAGGGTGTTTAACAAACAGTTAAACACTTCAATGTTGCAGTGCTCCAAAAGCAGAAAGGACTGCTCTGCCACACTGGAATAGCTTGAAGCAGTGTTTCTCAACCTCAGGAGCTTCAAGATATGTGGACTTCAACTCCCAGAATTCCCCAGCTGGTTGGAGAATTCTGGAAGTTGAAGTCCACACATCTTGAAGTTCCTGAGGTTGAGAAAGACTGGCTTATTGTTAGGAAAAACCGTTATCATTTTAGAACTTAAGATCTTTGCTGGGCAGTCAAGGCCAAAGTCCAAGCAGTCCACCATTCTTTCTTTGTGGGAAAGCCCAGAGAATGCAATGAAAAGAGCCACATTCTTGTCGAATTCGCACTGTCATGGTTGGATGGAATTAATTCCCTTCATGGGTATGGTATTAATTCCTTCATTATAGTTATGGGTAACTATATAGATAGTTGGGAACAGCTCTCTCTATAGTTACAACAACCAAAAGCTCCTCCAATAAACATCCTTTAATGCCATGTAATTGTAAAGTAATGCAAAAAAAAAAAAATATATAGCTCCTGCTCAGTCTGTAATGACACAAAAGCAGGATGAGGAAAGAGCTGGAATTCTCTCTCTTTTGAAATCTCTCCATAGCAGGGGCATCCATGGGGCAGGAGGTGTCAAACAAGTCAGTCCAATGAGACTTATGCTGTAAGCCCTGCCTTGTTCTTACATGTGTCACACATATCCAAAAGGGCTGGAGCTTACAGCTCAACGCTGCTTTCATCATTTCAATGAAAGCAGCAGGATCCCATGTGTGCCCATGTTCCATGGCCTGCACTACAATAAAAAAAATAAAGTACAGAAAGCAAAGCGTGGTTTCCAAAAATTTCTTCCCACCCCTTTTTATTGGCAGCGGCCACAGAAGGCATTGATATTTCATGTGTTCCATCTAGGTGTTTCTGCTCTGTCCTTCCCTCGTGTGGCATCTGTGTGTTTGTGTGGAGAGGGTGGGCTGTGCACATTCTGCTCTGGGCTTGTCACCAGGAGAACTGAGAATGGAGCAAATGCCATATTCTGAGCTGGAATGCCTGGAGGGAATTTCCTAGGATTTTGTTTTTCTTCACAGCCTTAAGCCTGATTTAGCCCATGTTTTAACTTGATCTTTCTTTTTCAGCTGCACCCTGCTATACCAAATATACCTCTGCTTCATTCAGTTTTCAGGGAGTAATCATCACAATGGAAAGGATAAAAGACCACACAGATGGATTGATTACCACCCACCACCCCCCATTTCTTTCCAGCACTCTTTTGAGTTGGAAATATTATAATTGGTAATACGTTCTTCTTCTAGAACTGCATGTTACATTACATTACATGAAGGAATTAGCCGTCCCTAAGCTAGCTAATGTTTAATTTGGACGATAGTTTGTCATTATCACCCCATGATCTAGGTGGGTGGCTCCACTGTAATATGTTGTGGACTATCATTGCATTACAAATAGTGTGTAATTTACCTGCCAGTATACCAGAACATTATGGTAAATTCCCAAAGAGTTTATGATAACCACAAGGACATTTTATGTTAGAATATTTTGTTCAATTTTAAGAAAAAATGTATTCTGAATACAAACCCTGAAACAGCTTGGTTTTTGTAGTATCCTTCAAAATGACCTAATTGGACAGGAAACCTACTTTCATTGTCTTTTTGGCCCCAGTACTGTCCATGCAAAATAAAACTACTGCTGACCTACTTCACAATATGGTTGTGAAGGAAAGTGCTTTGCAGAAGTGATAAGTGATAAGATACTCTAAATTAGTATACATTCTTAAAAGAGACAAAAACTGTAACAGTAATTATGAAATAGTACTGATTAAATAAGCATCATCTGTCATTTGAGTTTTGGATCAAAATCTATTCATAGTTGAGTATCAGGACCATGACTACTCTAGAACCTGAACCAGCTAAACGGATGGTCTAGAAATACCCATCATGAAAGGAGGATAATTATTGTAATAAAATGGATTATAAGCTTCTATGTACTTGACAGCAAGCACTAAAAGAACTCTGGATGCAACCCAGAGAACACACCCAAGGATTCTTTGTAAATGCCAGCATGTCCTGTATTCTTTCTTTTCATGAACTGCAGACCCTTCTACTATGGCCTGGCATCTGTGCATCAGAGGTCATCAGATGGCATTCTCAATTGCATGATTAGGCTGTATGCTGCCACTAAAATCTACTCAACCAGTAAAGGTGTCTATGATTAGACCAGGTGTCAGTTACAATGTTCTCTTCATCAATTCCAGAAGAAATCTCTACTGTACGGACAACTGTTGAAGAACAAAGTCTCTCCCTTTTATTTATTATATGCTTTTGGCAAGACACTTCTCAGTATCTATTTTACTGCACGATACTGAGATGGAATTTATGACGGATCAGTATGTATATTCACTGGCAACAGCAAAGTCTTTTTTTTGTTTTGTTTTCTTCTTGTAACAGCAAAAGAGAGTTTGAAATCCTCCTAACCTGCAGACCATGACTTCATCAAAACAAAGAAAAGTATATTTACAAATATAATCTTGGCACCAAGAAATTTTATTTGTCTCACACACATCACCTCTGGATTGGCTTCCTTTGATTTTGGTGCCTGTATTTTTAATCCAAATGATATTGTCTCAGGACAGGGAAATGAGGTGGTTTCCTGGGAGACTACTTCAAAAATGGGTACACATGCATACATATCTCCCACAAGGGTAACTGAGCTTAAATAATTAGTCTTTGTTTACTAATACAAAAGACTCCATAGAGTCCATATGTGACCAAATACTAGTTATCTATCTAATCATTAACCATATTACTGCGCCAGCATAATCAGGTGGATACAAAATTATTTTCCTACTTTGATCAGGTTAATGGAACTTAGCTGAAAAAAAAAATCATTTGCAAGTGTATGAAGGAGTAGAAAGTATTCTTCAGCTA